TGAAATATTCTCATGGTTCAGACATCATAAAATAACCCTAATTTTAATAAATTCAATATTTTCAAATAATCATGTGAATTGAAAAATATATTCTTTAAGTTATGTGCTTATGTAAGCAGGGTTTGAAAATATGGATGCACATCTTAAAATTTAATTAAAAATTTTCAATTTCTATTAATCAGAATTTATGTGCAAAATTTAAAAATCTGTGAAAATAAATTAATTTTTATTAATATAGAGAGCAACATACAAAGTTTTAAATTAAAAAAATACACAGAAATAATTTTTAAAACAGGTGTAAAGGAACAATAGAAATAGGTGCTTTTTAATATATTTTACAAAAAATGTAACATTAAGTTGTTTGTTGCTTAACTTAAGAATACATACATATATATTCTCAACAAAGCTGAATAATGATCGAATTATGTGCAGAAAAAAATTACTTAATTACTTAATAAAATATAAGATTAGGGCAGTTCATGCAGTTTTTAATGGCCTAAAGAAAGATTTTTTTCACTCACATTAGCTCATCTAAATAGCAGTAGGTTAGATATGCAAATCAATTAAAAAAAACAGATTATTTTACTTATGTAAGTGTCATAAGACAGAGATCAAAGATTTGAAAAAGAAAGTGTACCTTAATCCAGATTGATTCTGCAATTATTTTATCACACACACATACATACAATAAATAAATAAATTAATAAAAAATAAAACTTGTACCTGAGAAAAATGATGTCTAAACAGAATTTATAATGCAAAGTTTTTGATCCCCCCAAAATAAAAGAGGAAAATTTGAAAATACATATGCAAACCTTTTTTTAAAGAAAAATATTGCCTATATTACAGAGAAACCTCTCAAGATGATCTTGCCCAAAAGTCACCTGCATTTCTAAGAACATGATTAAATATTACTGCAAGTCATATTCTGTAAAACGAATGTCTCCACAGAACACTGAAATTGTTTAGAACTATGGACAGCCATTTTACGAAGTTTCATTATTAAAATACTCAAAACATAATATTTTTCAATGTAACTTTATCATTTAATTTTTGGAAATATATAACAGCAGGAAAAGTGTACAATTTTGAAAAACCATTTCAGACAGGTAAAGAAAGAATTCAAACAATGTGCAAAATGCAGACTTCAATGACAGGAATTACCTTGAAAGGGGGAGGGGTGTCTCACATCTAATTCTCCTGAGAAAGTAAGAAAAAGGCATCATCTTTTCTTAGACAGATACTGCTTTATTGTTTTTCCACAATTAATCACTCAGTCTTAAAAAGTACGCATTTTAAAATTACATTAGTTAGATATTATTAAGAAATTTATTTTGAAGTACAATATTTTAATCATGCAATTAATATTCTAATGCTAACAGAATATTTTCAGTTCATGAATATCTGCATATGCTAAATTTCTTAGCATGGTTAAAATTATTAAACTGAATACATTTATTATGTACATACATACTTTTGTAAAACGAAATGAATTAAAGAAATGCTATTCTGAGCTTAAACTTAACTGTTAAAAGCAAGATAAATAAGCCATTTATCAAACAATTCTAGTATCAAATATTTTTTTAAATACATACAAATACTACATTCTACAAATGTAGAAATATTAATGATGCACTTTTTTCAAGTCTCGATGATACATTACATTTCTATAATATTTCTAACATAAAGGGGGCGAGAAAACTTTTAAAAATGTGAACATACACTGCACAGCAATAAGCATTTTCTTATTGGACTTATACTAATTAACAGGCTGGATGAGTTTTACCCAAACTAGCACCCTCCAGAAGCAACAGGAATTAATTTCAAAACAAAAAGTTTTCATGGAAATAAAACTTGATGGCAATTTAAAGGAAAAACACTGAGAATAACACTTAGTGCTTTCTGAACGCTGTGAATAATGTAAGCTTGAAAATTCTTTTGTAGAGATGTTTTTTTTTTTTTTACTTTACAGAAATCTTCTCAATTATGTACTAGAAAATTATTTAGAATTTCTGATTCTTGATTTTAAAGCATTTCAAGCATTTGATACATAAAATTTATTATTTTCTACCACATTTCAATAACGTTTATCAGGGAACAGGGTAATGATAAATATTATAAAATTATTTTTTTTTTTTTTTTTTTTTTTACTAGAATGGTTAATACCAGTATTACGAGATTAAAATAACTGGATTTGGGCAAGTACCTTCTTTCAAGGTGTGTGTGTGTGTGGGGAGGGAACACTTTTAAGAAAGATCTTTATTTTTATGTCATATAAACAATGCCTCAAAGCAGATTTATTTTAGGAGCTTAATTTTTACTTTATCAATGAATACTTTAGTATAAATTAAAATTTAATTTTTCTGCAGGAAAAATGTCTTTTAACTGTTGATTTTATAAAGACTGCTGCAAGTAGGACACCATTTATTTATAGCTGGACAGTGAATGTCACTTATAATTTAACTACAAGACGTAATATGAAGGTCACAATTTATTTTAAAATTAAAAATAATTTTATAGCTGCTAATTTATAAAAAACAATGGGATCTGACAAACATGATTTGCCTATGCATAATTTGATCATGTCAAATCACATACATAATTTGGTTTGGTTTATTTAATTATTGCTATGCATGCATGGGTTATCTGCATAAAGAAAGGGATCCCTTTGTGGAGGACTTTCTAAAGGAACTCATATGCACTTTACACATGAGGAAAACCCCAAAAACACTCATGTAACCAGCCCATTCACCTGGAATTGAACCCAGGTAGGAAGTACCAGTGTTCAGCGGTTTTGCTGCTCGGCTGCTGGTGGATTACATAATTTGGAGTCTTAAAACTAGTTATAAATGTTTGAATGTAGAATATATTAAATTAAAATTTGGAATTAGAAATTAAATATTAAATTATGGTTTTGGGCTAGTTCCTTTCAATTTTATAATTTTAAAAAGTTATACGATGAAAAAATTCAAGTAGAGAAGAAGAAGAAAAAAATATTTATCAAAATGATTTTAGACATATTGAAAAAATTTAATAACTAATGAGAATATAACTGTGTGCATAAGATTAATAATGTACCATTTATAAATTTAAAGAAAACTAAATACAAATTTTTACCAAAATGTGTAACATATTAAAACACACCAGATGAAATAAAAAGAAATAAACAAATTACTCTAAAAATTATTTAAAGACAAAAATGGAATATGTATAATTTAAGCTTTATTAAGAGGGAAAAAATCATAGCCTTATTATTATTATTATTATTATTTTTAAGAAATTGTCACTGAAATTTTCTTTATAGCATCCCCCTCTACGATATTATCAGTATTTTTTCTTGATATACACTCGAAAGAGATGCCCTAAACTCAGACAAATTAAAAGCTAGGGGTAGTATGATAAAAAGCAAGGAATATGCAAAATATTTTAACATACATAAGAATTGCTACAAATGAAGAAGACTAGCAAAAACTCAGTATAATGAAAATGAATTTAAACTTTCTCAGAAACTAAAATTCTTATACTCAAATTAGTACAGTTAAAAGAAATTCATAATAAAAGATATGCATGCTAAAAAAACAAACAAGTAATCGATTTCTACATATTTTGAAATTATAAATGTTATATTAATATATTATTATATCACTTATTAAACTTAAATTAATACTTATAAGAAATGCACACTAGAATAAAATGCAGACCTAATGAATTTATAGCTTGGAAACAAAAGAATTTTATGTAATGAAGGAAGATAAATATAAAATGGTCTTATAGTATTAGCACATTTAAATAAATGATGACATGTGAAAATGTCTTTAGAAGAAGAAGGAACAAATGAAATGATATTGCAAATACTTTATCTAAAATTCAGTTGTTTTTCAGTTTACCATATTTTTGTCGTGCTAACAAATGAGGTAAAACACATTTTTAATGTATATAGTAACACACAATTTCAGTAACAGCTTTAAATATAATTAAAATAGTGTTAAAACATCTACTTTCAAACCCTGCTTCATTTCTAAAATTACCAACAATAAAATATTCCAACAATTACTAAATAAATAGAAATCTATGTACATTGATGAAAATGATGTAACAATTACTATGACACATGCAACAGAAAGTATCTAGAATAGGAACAAATGGTAATACAGCAGTTTTTATTAACTTTCAAACTTCCATTAGTGTTAAAAATAACAAAAAATTCTACTTATGCGAGAGAATGATACAATTTTGAAATAAAATATTAGATTTGAAATTTTAATGCTTCAAACACCTCAGATTTTTTTAAAAAATATTTTTTATTACAAAAGCATGAATACTTTTTACCCATTAGGTTCACCCCTCCCCACTTGTAATGAATGCTAAACATGAGGATGATTGTAAAATATTCAAGTAAAAGCTAGAAGTTTGATAAAATCAACAAGGCATCATTAGAAAGTATATTCCAGCTAGCAATTTATAGCCACAAATTTTCATTATTATCATCACAGTTGTTATGCATACTTTTTAAAATATCATTGAAGAGAAAAATACCAAAATTCTTTGAGAGATTTCTTTTTCATTTTTTACTAGCCAACTACATCAAGTACATATTTGTTTTTCTTTATCAGAGAGGCATTTTTCACTTTGTCTGCAACCATGCTATACACCTCTATCAGTACAATATATTTTATTTTCATCCTACATTTGGAACCTATCAGCATATCTATTGTTGCAGAAGTATGTGTAAACATATCTGGAAAAAATTATTTCAAATTCAATTCGAAATATCACTAATTTGCTGCTAAAAGCATTTTTATATCATTGTGTATGCCAGTGAACATCAATGTTAGTGTAATAATGATACAATTAAAAAAAAAAACTTCATACAGATTAAAAAATACATTTTGATTAAGAATAAAGAAATTTTCCAATAATATAAAACCATTAAAAAGTATTTGATTATATTGCTAAACTGAATTTTTTTTATAGATATCCCACAGCTTAAAAAAAAAAAAAAAAAAAAAAAAAAGTAACAATCACTCAATAATGACAAAATTATTTGAAAAAAGGTCAGCAATTTAAAGATGTAAGCACTAATTCTTTCCACAGGATGAAATGATTTACAGCCAAAAATAGTAATAATAATAATAAAAAAATTCTAATAGAGGGAAGAGCAGATAAATGCAGTAGTGTGGATTATTCCAGCTAAAGTTCCGATGTTTTTCAAACTGTCATTACTTATGATGTGATAAAGAATTCTGCAATAAATGAGTTAAACCTATTTTTAATGTGTCTGGCAGCACGTAAATGCACATTCATTTTATGATTGAGTCATATATACAATTGTACAATATTTACAGAAACCATAATAACTTTATTTCTGAATTCAGAACCACATTTTTCGATGAAAAATGTTGGCATCTTTGTTAACATTCAGGCTAAAACACACATGGAAAAGAATATATTTTAAATACAATATATACAACAGAAATTTGATTTTAGCTTTTGCAATGATAGTTCATTTTTAAGCAATAAACAGATATAATCTATGGAAATTTCAAGACCTTGTTAAACAAGAACTTTAAACTTCTGGCATACACTTCAGATAAAAATGCATATACGTTACAACAGCAGTTTGCTTTCAGCCCTTCTGAAAGACCTCTTAATACAGCTGCAAGGTTCTTGCAGCTGTTTTTAAAAATATGAATAGGCATGAAGCAATTTGCTGCCCCTCAAAACTTTCAAAATAACACAAAGAGAACTGTTGACAACCTCATATGAATTGCATACGTTCAATAATTTACAGACATACCAGCTATCACTCTTTGCCTCACTGTTAGCCATTCCTATCTGGGAAATGTAATTAAAAGTCATGTGTAACTAAATGGGATTCAACGTTAATGAGTAATGAGCGAGCTCAGGTTTGAGTAGGTCTCTGCAGAAGCCTCTTCATCGCCGTGCTGTGTTTCTTTTTGTGTTGACAATTGTACTGAAGGCTGAGACGACGACGCTGCTGTAGAAGAGGGTTCTCCGAGGGGCACACGAGTGTTCACATAAATGTTAGTTTCACTAAATGTGGGGTCTACATATGAAATTTGATGATGACTACCAAGCTGTACATTCAAAGAACCCATTTGAGAACAATCCAGGGCCTGCGGAACAGCAAATATGGACGTATCCATAGGAGTGAGTTCGGAAGACACAGAAGTCCTAGAAAAAGAGGAAGACGGGTGGCTTCTCGGAAGAGAGCTAGCGTCCACACCTGAAGCTGGCTGGTAAGACTGAAGACTCCTGATGTCTCGCTCGGAACCATCTACTACATCGGACAACAAGACCTGAGGATCCTTTGCTGCTTGCAAGAAGTGGGATGAATGAATACTTTTCTGATATTCAAAATTATGTACAGGTCCTGAGTTTTCATCAGACTGTAGGTGATAAGAAGTATCAGATGCAATATTGTCAGCCATCTGCCTGGAGGACACGGCAGTGGAACTGAAAGCGCCACAGGCGTAGAACAAATGGTTCTTGTGTAAGCACCGATTGCCTGCAGGCAGGAAACATGTGCTGCTGCTTCCAACAATATGAGGACTTTCACAGTCCATTGCAGAAGTTCCACTGATCGGAGCATTGAAAACATTTGTCTGAGTACAGCTACTTTGCTGCGGATGCATAGGATTGACAAGAGTAGGATCATCAACACCGAATGCTTGGGCATCTAAAACATAAATAAGATATTTTCAGTTGGCAAAATAATACAATAATCAGAAAATAAATACAAGATCAGAAATTGTTCAAACATTACCTCTGTAGATGCACTATGCTCTGTTAATGCATTTTTTTATTCCAACATAAAGCAAATATTTCAAGAATAAATTTTCAAGGCAATTGTAACATAAATTTACTACAGCAATACCACAGATATACAGAGAATTACAAAACTATGAAATTCATTTAAAGGAAAAGAATAGTTCTGCCAGTAAAGACTCAGTCCCATATTTCAATGTCTTATACTTGCAGGAATACATTCAAATATGCCATACTAGTCTGTATAACACAAGAATGATTAAAGTCATGCTGACTGGTCTTTGGTGAAATATTTCATGGTGAAAATAATACAAAGATGTGGCTATAATCCCTCCTGGTATTCTCATTTAAAACTACATTACAGGAGATCAATGCCTACATTTCTGACTAAAAGCAAAGGCAAATTTATTGGGACCTACAGGCTGCAACTGTGACAGAACCCCAAATCATTAACTGATTTATAAGAACAATAAACAAGCCCATCTAAAGCTGAGACCCCCCCCCAATTTTTACATGAAATGATCCTTTCACTACATAAATCTGACACTGATTAAGGAAAATAACAGTATAATTCTTAAATAAAAACAAAAATGACCATGCAGGAATAAAATCATATTAATTAATATACAAGTAGTCTGCTGAATAACAAGTAATGAACAGTTTAAAACTTTTGATTTTTAAAAGTGCAAAAATAACATAAATAGCTCCTGATAGCACAGTTTTATATTTACAACTTAAAAATTACCTTTAAAAGAAGGAGGGAATCAGTATACAGCATCCTTTTTTTTTATTGGAAAAAATCTAGTGTGTATACCACGACTTCCTTCTAAGGATTATTAAATTATACATTTTTTCCCGCATTTCATTTAAATTTATTTCCTCGAATTTCATTAGAGATACATTTCTCATTCAATTAATTCAGTTTTCACTTCGGGGCAAAGCAAAAATACATAAAAACTCAAATTATCTTCATTAAAAATTGAAAGATAAAGAAAAACATAAAACATCAAATACAGTTAAAAACAATTAAAATTTCTAAGCAAAAACCAGCAGTTCAGCCAGCAGGCAAGATGGCAGATTTTTAATTGTACAAAACTAAAAGTTTCCTTTTGATCCCACTGGGCAAAAAGACAAAGAAGGTGCAGAAAGACTTAATTCACTATTCCACCAACTTTCAAAGGTAAACAAATAATAACTCGTACGATAAAAAAAAAAAAGAATTAGGCTTAGCCATGTTTAAACAACTTTTAACTGAGCTTACTGAGCCAAGTAACACAGTAGGTACTTTAAATTTGCTTTTTTACGTATTTACATGTTTGTTAAAATATATATATATTTGTGTATTTTTGGTGCAGCCGATTGCAACAAAAATAAGAGGTGCACAACTAAACGTTATAGCAGTGCCATATACAACATTTCAATGTTCTGAGGATTTAATTTTTGAGTTATGCGAGATACATACATACGTAGGTACATACAGATGCCACAAAAATTCTCTTCTGAATTCACTTTAAATCAGTTTTATAATTCATTTTGGGAAAAAGAGTTCTTTATTCTGACCTTGCATACAGATGTCATGCAAAAACATCATTAAACTGCACTCGATAGTGGTCCAAATGGATATTTTCATTCAAAAATGATACCTGGAATTTTTTGTGATTACAATACAGTACAAAGTTCGTAATCCGGATATCCATTATCCGGAATGATCTATAATCCAGACCTCAAAGCCACAAACTTACACATGCGCGTTTGATGCATGCGTCCGCTACGCTTGTGCGTAAAGCCAGTAAAGCATTTAACCATGCGCACTTCCGATAAAGTTACGTTGAAATTCCAAAAGTTACACTGAAAGAAATGCTTAATAAAGTAAACAAATAAATACTACGCCTCTTTTTTTTTTTTTTTTTTTTTTTCTTTTTGTAAATTTTGATGCGTTTTAGATCATAATTGCTCTTTATTTCATAAATTACAGTTTAACATTTTAATTGTATAATTTTTGCATGCCATATTGTAGAGACATTAGGTATTTTTTTGAAAGCAGACAAGATGAAAAAATAGCAAACACCTTCGCGGGGAATCGAACCACGGACCTCTGGAATACAGGCTCAGTGTGCAGAACCACTACACCATGAAGGACGCTAGGAAAGTGGGAGAAATACCTTATTACGGACTTTGTACTGCATTTCCTTTACTTTGTATACGGAAGTAAAAAAGGGAAGGGAACAAAACAGTTCAAAGACAAGACATAATAGATACCACAATGTTTCTGCATAATTTCAAAAATGGGGCAGACATCAGAAGATATTTCAGATTTAAGCAGACCTTAGACCTTTTTAACATCACAGTTTCACTTCAGAAATGAACGTAATCAAATTTTATAATCAGAGAAAAATATTCCACTAAATTGTCACACAGCCTACATATCAATATTAAATAAATCTTTGAATAACTTCAGAGAGTAAGCTGAATTATTTCTGTAAATTTATTTACATTATACTGTTTGCAGCATATGTTACATACAAATACAAGTATCATTTTAAAATTAAGCTAAAAAGAAATCTTTGGTTGGTACAGATTTTTGAATAACACTGCAATGGTAATTACTAAAAATCTACATAAAACTAAGGTTATGACGAAGAATAAAATTCTCAATAGTATATATATTTTTTAAAAACACCATAATAATTCTCAATTTTCAACAAAACAAAAAGGAGATGCCATGATGATTCAACTCATTTTATTATATAGGTCAAGAGTACTTGCAATGCATACTCGTTAAAATTCACCACAAATGATGGTTAGCCCTATGCATTTAAAGACAAATTGAGATAATGGTGCAGGTTTAAAAAACATTTTGGTGCTATTTCTGGAGCAACAAATGAAAATATCACATATTACAGAAGCAATTTAAATTAGTAGCAGAATTTTAGAACAATTTTAGATGCTAAACACTTTATGATTCAAAAACAAAACTCTGTTCCTATAAATAACCATATTTATATAGAAAACATCTTGGTTTATTCATTCATGAACAGAAACTAAAGACTACAAAATTTTGTAACATACATTAATTAGTTTGATGCAAAAAGCATGGTTATCAGCTTTGAAAAGCTTGGATACCTTAGAATATGGTTGCCTGTCTTGGAAATACATGGTTTGTAATAACATACAAAATTAGAAGATAATTCTTTAAATCAGATTGTTTCAATGCATGCATTTAAGAAATACAGTACAAAACCACACTGTGAGACAACTGCGGAGGATAACAGTAGCAACGATAGCAACTACAAAATGAGAAAATCAGCATAAGTGCAGGATAAAGTATGACGTGTTATGCGTATGCAAATTTTTGATTGCGGAAATTGTTCGTCACATGATGGGCTGATAAAAGCGATAAATGATTTGATATGTATTGATGTTTGTTGTTCAAAAGCAAAATTTAACAGGAAAGAAAAAATCATTTGACAAACTTGCATTTTCAGTATGTTTTCCCGACATCACTTAGATGATTTTATGAGTAGCTGCATTATTGGCAGCACTGAAAAAGGGCAAAATATAAGATGTTGATAGGGAGCTCGATATCAGCCACATTGTTTCAAGGCTTTGGCAATCATTTCAAACAAATGGAATGTGTAGCAAACATCATGGCAAAGGTCGTGTTCACAGTGTGATACCTGCAGAAAATAGGTACATATTTCCTATAAATAAGAAGAGTCAACACAGCACAGCTATTGGGGGTAGCAAATCAGTTACTTGTTGCTAATGGCAAGAGAATCTCCCGAAAAACTGTAGCTAGATGTTTGCATCAAATAGGACTACTACTAGTAGGCATTCTTTTGCCCAGACAGCAAAATACAACCCATTTGCAATGGTATCAAGGGCATCAAAAACTGGACTCAACAGAACTGTGCATACGCAATATTCTTAGATGAGTGTACATTCAGTCTGTTACCAGATTATAAATGCCAACTCACCTGGAGTGAGAGTGGTACTGCTGGCTTATCATCCAGAAAATATCCAGGAAAGGTCCAGTATCAGAGATGCAGTATTATGGAATGAGCCGGCATATGATCAATGGCCGCATGCTCCTACATGTGGTTGCAATGGGGACTATGATTGGCCAACCATATATTAATAATGTTCTGATACCACATGTTCGCATGTTCCATGGTGCTGTCAGTGATAAGCTTGTTTTCGTGGACGACAATGCAACATGCCATTCAACAATCACTGACCAGGAGTGTCTACAGAGCCAGGATATTTGACACCTTGTATGGCCAGTACATTCTTCCGGCCAGTACATTCTTCCTTATGGCCAGTACATTCTTCCTTTGAAAATGTCTGGGATGCTTTGGAGAAGAGACTTGCTGATCAACAATGCCCTCTAATAAACAAGAACACAGTCATCCATGCACTAAGAGAGGAATGGTATAAATTTTCCCGACAGCTGTTGGATAATGTTCTGGGGAGTATGACACAATGTGTGGAATGTTAACATTGCCTTCCATGGTGACCATATCCCAAACTGTCATCTTACACCAGAATGCCTGCATACAGTAATTGCATTTTTTTCACTTTTACGAATTCACAATATGATCATTTTATTACTTGAACACTTTTCAAAACCTTCTTGATTTCAGAGCACAACAATTTATCTTTATTATTATATCCTAGTATTCTGTAATTATTTTATTTCACTTGGAATACAAACACACAAAGCATTATATTGCAGTTTGTGATCTAGCCTTAAAAATTGTCTACAAGTGTATTTAAAGTTCAACTACTTATGAGCTCTACTCTGGGCAAAAAAGTAAAACTTTAACAGGGCAGTTTAAATTAAACTTTTTAAAACAATAAAACTTTAACCCATTAATTTACCAAAACAATAATGTACGAAAATACTTAAATGAAAGTAATAAATATTAATATCTTAAAAAAGTTTTTAAATTTTATGACTATTAAAAAATACGCATGGATAGTTTTAACATATGAGATATTATTGATAGAACATTTCCATTCTTATACAGTGGCTTACATTTGTTTTCCAATACTTGCAATTTTCATTTTTATTTGTAAATATCAGTTATAAAGAAAATGACTTTATTTTTACTTTTATATATACTATCGATCATCTATTTTAAAACCTGCTTGCTTTGAAATGAAAACAGGATTGCCCCCCTGAATAAGCTTGAATGTATTTTGCATTCCAAGTTTTGCTTGCAAATGCTTTCAGGTTTTCATTAAAAATATTTATTTATTTATACTAATCCAGATATTTTTTATAAACACTAAATTTCTTATTCTAAAGGCAGCAAAACATCTCACATGTATATGTCATTAGGCAATAAGTTTTCTGAATTCAGTTTTTAGTATGGATTTTGTTGCCTCATGGTATTTTGTCTGTCAAGACACAAATATTTTAAATTTTGACTCTTCTGCATATATAATATTATTTTGATGTGACAAAACATTGCTTAGTGTAGGTTTTGTGAATGCCAGACATAGTTTCCTTGTTGACAAAGAATTTTCTTTTTGCTGATTGCCCACTGTATCTATGTGCCCTAAATGACTCTTCTAGAACCTTCAAGATTAACTTTTATTGCAAACCATTGCTTTAAATCTGGTGAACATTTTACAGTGGTAATTTTTGGTTTTGCTTATTTTTTCATAAAATAAAATCTGCCAATTACTTGGTGTTAGCTTGGAATACGTTCCAAACTCCATTGCGTTTTCAATGGTTTCATGCAATTTCCATCGTTTTAATACATCAGAGATAGTTAAATGTTTTATAACACGGATTTTTTGGATACTTTGATCATCTTTAAAATGGTGAACAGTTAAATTTTGAAAAGAACTTGGTGTTAAGTTTAGCATCTCGTCATGTTCATGTCAAAAAAGGAACAGTTAAAAATTTTTGCTAAACAAGTTAAAATTTCTAAATAAAAAAATCAAAATTAAAATTACGTCCAAAGGGGCGTTTTTTTAACGTTTTTGAGTGTTACCTTTAGTTATTAAATATCATGTTCTTTGCACTTAAACTATACAATTGATCAACAGCAATGTTGCAAAATAATTTTAAAATGAGCATATCTTTAGAATTTCCAATACACAGTTCCGCATGCTGGAGATAAAAAAGTCTTTCCCCCCCTTTAGAGTGTTGCCATTGCTCCCTTTTAAATCTTTGAGTCTGTTAATCAAAAATTCGTTAAAGTTTTACAAAATATTAAATTGATAATAAAACAAATACCAAATTTCAAGTTTGGGCTTTTAGATGCTCATATCTGCAGTAGGATTGTGTCATTCAAAACTGGATGGCTCTAGGTATCGTTGTTTTATCACAATGCGAGAAACATACATACATTTATGCAAGATTCTTCATTATTTATTTTCTTCAAATATAATACAGGGCGACAGTATTTGGTGGCAACAATTTGAAAAGTGATACGCCATTTATAAGGATCCGATGCAAAATATTAAAATAAAAACAATAGTCCTTCAGGGACAAAGCCCTTTTGAACTAATAAGATGATAATTGCAAAGTACTTTCATTTAAAAAAAGGGGGGAGGAAAAGGAAAATAAAAAACATTTCAACAAAACTTTTGAAAATTAATTAGGGAGTTATTGATTAATACTTTTGGAACAAATTGCTTTACTACAAGAAATATTTTGATGATATATGTTTTACAGCAATCAAGGCTTAAAATAGAGAAAAAATAATACAGTCAAAAGTCGTTAATTCGGACACCCATAATTCGGAATGATCTATAATCCGGACATCAAAACTAAAAACTTTCTGCGCATGCGCTGCGTTGACACATGCGCAGAGGCGTTCACAGCGTGCGCGTAAGACCTTTTCGACTGCGCATATGAGTGTGCGCAAGTGCAGATACATTTTCGCGTGCGCATTTTATGTAAATGGACTTATAAGCTAAAATTATCTAATTACCTATTTCATTAATGTTGATGATTGCGTTGTTCCTTAATTTTCGAATTGCATCCGGGCTTATTATTTTTTGCAGACTGTAAGAGCAATTTTTATAAAAGTAAGCTTAAACTTTCGATTATATCAAATAGAATTTCCGATATATATTTGTTATTATGTAAAGGATCTAAAGCAAAAGTATGTTTTGAAATCCGAAATCTGTTTATCAATTTCACGCTGCTCGCGGCGGCGCGTAATGAATTGGAAGTTGATTTGTCAGCACTATCCTTATCTTCAGCGCAGATGTTTTATTTTTATTGGCTTATAATTCCTTACCAAATGTAATATTTCATCTCGATATGCTCAGTCTTTGATATGATTTAAAACAAGTTCCTCGTCATTATAATTCGCTTCCGATAGCGAAGAAAAGTGACAGAGGTTATTGAAAACAAAAAACATTCGATTGGCAAATTAGTCGGTGTTCTTGACACAGCAATTATAAGACTTGAACGGCGGAACTTTGTAACTGAACAAGAAATTATGTCTGTTTAATAGAATTAAAGAGAAAGTATTATCACATGAAACGAAGCAAAACTTAAACAACTTACATTGAAAGAAATGTTTAAAAAAGTAAACAAATAAATATTAAGCTTTTTCTTTTTGCAAATTTTGATACCCTTTAGATCATAATTGTTCTTTATTTCATAAATTACGGTTTCATATTTTTAATTTTAGAATTTCTGCATGCCATCTTACAAGATTTAAACTGATGATCTATAATCCGGAAAAATCGATAATCCGGAATCGCCGAAGTCCCGACGAGTCCGGATTAACGACTTTTGACTGTACGTTAAAAAATCTGAGGTCTACATTTCAATATTTAGTATAAGATGTATGCAAATAAATTTAAAAAATACAAATGTCTGAAAATAAATATAAACCACTGTACATGGCATGGAATACATCAAATTTGGAAAATATATTCCTTGCCATGTACAGTGGTTTAGGTTTCAAGTAATGAATTAGGAAGAAATACTCTACTAAAAACTTTTTTTTCTTACCAGAAGATTTTACGATAATGAACAACTTCATAATTGAATCCAGAAAACATTATATTCATTAATGCTGATAAGAGCTACCATAAAACATGAAATTTTATTTATAAAGCTTCACAACAAGTATACGGCTGAAATTCAGCTTTCATTTCTCTGATTTCTCTGATTGATGTTTAATTTGAAACAATTTCTGTTACCAAGCACAACAAACTAGTTATCGAGTTAAATACAGGCAACTGACTACTTTTATGCTTTTACTACAATATCCAGTGAAATAAATAAGATTTTAGAATTTATACCAACAGTAAGTCATTTTAATAAATGGTGTTTCAAAATAAAACTAAAGAGCTAAGAATGAAACTGGATTGAATGAAGGTTTAATAAATATAGTTACTTATTATAATGTACACAGTGCCACTAAATTTCATTATTTATTTCTGCAGGACAATGACACTTCTAAAGACAAGGAAGACAGAACAAGTACATTTGTAAAAGAAGAATGAATAACAGTTCATTTACAGGTGGAGATGTTATTTATGAGCTGAGCAAATTGTTTCTGATATCAGCTGAGTAAAATGTTTCGAAGTAAGAAAAACAAGATATTACAGTACCTCTTTATTTGCTTTTTTTTAATACCTTTTATCTATAGGTTATTAATTAACCCTCTCAATGTTATGGATGTAAAATTCCATATAGAAGGGTGACTTTAGTATTCATTACATATGAAAATTTCCATCAGCTTTTAATGTATCTGATTTCTGGTTGGACATATAGTGGAAGAAAAAGAATCGAGGTACAAAGGGAGAGTCATTTTTTAATCATAATTAAGAAAATACCATTTATTCATGATATTGTGAGGAACTTTGAAATTTCAGGGCTAAACTCGTAATGTTCAAAGGGTTAAAATATAAACTCTTATAATTTGAAATGAGTGAGGTGCATGCTTCTGATATGTCACTTTTTTTATTTTAAAATTTAAAAAACTCAGAGAAAATTTTGGAAAAAAAAAAAAAAAAAACCCTAATTATTTTCCACTTCCATGATTTTCCAGGTAAGTGCGGACCCATAAAACAATATCTGATTAAAATACGTGCCAAAATAATAATTACAGATTTCTAAGCTTAAATAATTTAGCAGAAACATATTTCTAAACACTGAGATTTAGTACTTCAGTTCATATACAAAACAGTAGTGATTTCTTCTTCAAGGGGCATTCAGTGCATGAAATTTTGAAAATATAATTGTTAAAAGATAGTGACTTTAGAAAAAATAATGAATTGAAACATGTTAAATATTTTTTAAGGTCATTATATGAATTTTTTTATTGAATTAGAAAGCAACATGTTATTTAAAAGACCATAAACATCACATTAATTGATACTGGATAGAGTAAAATCTTGTTGAAAAAGTTTGTGTTTGGTGAGAAATAACTGAGTGGCTTTGTTGAAAATTCACACTTAGAAGAAAAGCAAAATAAATCTTTACAGAATTGGAAAAGCACTTATAAAAACTGCACCTGATGGTCCAAAAGCTGAACATGTTGCTTGAAAATGTGCAAGATCATCTTTTTTAACTCTGTCACTAGATTTCCTTTCAGCGTCCTCTTGCGAATCATGTTCAGCTGACTCCAACATTGGAGGGCTGAGAATAGTGTTATGAAGAGTATTTGTACTACCGTCAGCAGTTCTTTTGAAAAAGCTGTGCTGAAGGGCATGATAGGGAGTTATTCGAGTTTTAGGGTCATAATCTAACATTCGCAGGATCAAGTCTTTGAACTTCAAATAATCTGAAACACTGTGACCAGGTTCTCCTTGTCTTCTGCCCCCAGGTCCACCAGACTCAACACCAAGAATGTCATGCAGTTTTCGTGAGCCGGGTGGTCGGTACTAAAAATAAAAAAATATACATCAGCCATACACAGACAGAAAACAGCTCCATGCAGAAGACTAGACAAAAGAGGAAATCATACATTTAACCTAGAGCAAAAATTTTAACTAGTTTCTTCAAAATAACAAAAATACCTGTCATAAAACCACTTTTTGGTACCATGATATTTTTGATTTTATGCAGAAACATTCAAAGTAGTTGCAAATAAAGTGCAGTTATTGCATTTTCCAGATAGTGATGCTAAAAACAGATGCAATAAATGTATGGTGGATATAAGTCATGCTTTTAAAATGTGATAATTTTACTTATATGTATAATATTCTTTGACATTTTAAGCATACATGAAAGTAAATCATATTTGATAGCTCATACACATTACAGCTTAACCTACAATAATTGTATAACACACAATTAACAGACTTGACAAAATAAAATGACATCTCTTCTTAGAAATAAGTATGGATTATAATAATTTACAGAAAGTCAATACTTTAAATAATTCCTAACAATTATTTTTATTATACGCACTTATAAGTACACATTCCATAATATTACAATTCTTGTGTTTAGTTTTTAATTAAAGCAAAAAATTAATTATAAAAATTTAATTTATTAACAGGCAGGTTCATTAATTTTTTTTACAAAAATTTCTATACAACACAACTTACTGAATATGACTAGGAACATGAGTAGGAAATGAAATATTTCTATTCAAAGTTATCATATATTGAGCTATATAAGAAGTCTCCGCAGTTTTTTGGTAAATTTTTGAAAAAAAAATTTTCTTTACTGAAAATCATTTTTAATCATGTAGATATTGACCATTACTATCTATGACCTTTTGCCATTTTTCGGGTAGCTTCATAATTCCATTGGTGTAGAACTTCTGTGGTTTGTCGTTGAAAAACTTGGCCAAGTGATTTTCAGCAGCACTTTGGTCAGCCAATTTTTTTACCATCAAAAGAGTTTTCCAGAGACCAAAACAAGTGGTAGTCAGATTGTGTAAGGTTTGGCTTATATGGTGAACGAATCATAACTTCCTAACCAAGTTGCGTCAATTTGTTCTAAGTCATCAAATATGTGTGTGGCTGTGCATTGTCATGATTGAACACAACTCCCTTTCTGTTGGCCAATTCTGGTCACTTTTTCTGGATTGCTTTGTTCAAATGGTTGAGTTGTGCACAGTACAGGGCCGAACTGATGGTTTTGCCAGGTAGCCGCAGCTCATAATGGACACCCAAACATCGAGCCCAAATATGGTACCCAAATATTGAGCTTCTTTTTGTAGCCTGATCTTTTCAAATGATTCCAAACTGTCATGTGGTTGATGTTAGTGCCTCTGCTATTTCCTGAGAGCTTGGCACAGCAGTCTTGCTCCACCAGTTGCAAACTTTCACTTTTTCAGTGACTGGGCGACATCAAAATGCATCTTTGACATTGAAACTTCCGGAATGAAATCGAGAAAACCACTCTTGGGTCCTTTGTTCACTCACAGCATTCTCACTGTACACTTCACAAATTTTTCGCCATGGTTTTGCAGCAGTTTCACCTTATTTATAGTAAAAAAGCACCAGGTAGCATAGTATTTCTTCGGATATTTCACTCATTTTCAAATCAATATAACTTTTCACATGAGCAACAAATTAGAAAACAATCTTCATTAACAATGGAAGCTGAATGTCACCTTTTAAGTTTGAGACAATTGGGTGAGTGTTGTCGGATAATAGGCATCAACACCATTTAGTTGCAAAAAACCGCAGACTTTTTATATGACCCAATACAAATGCAATTAGCTTTACATTTTTAGAAGTAAAATGTTTAAATAAATTGCTTGAAAAATTCCTTTTCCAATATTTTTAATTTGTGGTCTTAATTAAGTAGCAATCTGAAATGAATTCCAGTTAACCCGTCAGCACACGCGCTGGGGTAAAATTCACCCCACGTGTAGTCTTTTCTTAGAAAATAAGGGAAGGTCGTACATGACCTTTCTAGTACTTCATGTACCTTTCAAGATCAAGGTTAGGAAGGGGTCGTCCAGAGGAATTTTTCCCATGTCCTTGGGATTTTGTGTTTTCGGGAAGGAATGTGCAATGGGATTGTAGCTACCCCGCGCGTGTACTAGCGTTTCACTTTTAGGGAGACATTCATTGAGATGAGTGCGTACGAGCGAGAACAGTAACGACTGAGGGTTCTTCTTACTAGTGTTGAAACTGATAGTGAAACTGAAGATTCCGATTCTGAGTGCGATAATATTTCTGAAAGCGCTCACGAAACTGATTCTGACCAGTAATGTGATGATTCACATGATTTAGGGAGTGTATCTTCTTCGGCATCAGATGATTTTTATGTTTGAAAAGATGGAACAATTTGAAGTAAAAAAATTACCCTCGAAAAACGTTCGGACACAGCCGCACAATATAGTGACACATTTACCTGGTGTCAAGAAAAGCTTTAGAAATTTGAAAAATACAACTGTGTGTTTATTGCAAATTTTTGATGAATAAATAATGGAAGATTTGGTGAAATCAACAAATATTTACATTTCATCAAAAAGAAACAAATTCTCTAGAGCACGTGATGCACAAGAGACAAACGTAGCTGAATTGAAGGCTTTGCTTTTCCTATATTGCGCTGGAGTGCTGAGAGCAGCATTTCTCAAAGCAAAGATTTGTGGTCCGCTGACGGAAGCGAAATAACTGTTTTTCAAATAACAATGTCTAACAACCGATTCCACTTCCTGTTGAGGTGTATTAGGTTTGATGATATAAATTTACGAGCAGAGCAAAAGATGACGGCTAGACTTGCACTTATTAGAAATGTTTTTGAAATATTTATCAAAAACATACGAAAAATATATTATATGAATATTGTACTATAGACGAAAAATTAGAACCCTTTTGAGAAAGGTGTCAATTTAGGCAATATATAAAAAGTAAGCTCCCAAGATATGGAATAAACACTTTTTCTTTGTGCGATTCTCATACATTTTACGCATACAACCTAGAAATTTATACAGGTCAGCAGCCTGTCGGACTATATAGACAATCAAATGTGGCACTAGATGTTGTACAAAGACTTATATATTGCACCCATAAGTGGCACTGAAAGAAATATAACTATGGATAATTGGTACATGAGCATTCCTTTGACCAATGAATTATTGAAAAAGCACAAATTGACATGTTTTGGGACACTTCGAAAAAATAAGAGTGAAATTCCAGAAGAATTTCTGCCAAATAAAACAGGCTTCTGTACTCTTCGCGTTTTGGGTTTAGAGGTAAAGAATTAACTCTTACTTCAAATGTTAAAAAAAAAAAAAAAAAAAGCGTAAATTGGTTTTTGTTCTATCATCCATGCATGAGGATAATCAAATTGATCCAGCAGCAGCTCAAGCTCGAAGTGATAACTTTTTGCAACTCTACAAAAGGTGATCTTTATATTGTTGATTAGTTATGTGGTACTTAGCCTGTTTCAAGAGAATGCCGCCGTGGCCTCTAAAGGTATTTCTCGAACTAATAAACATTGCAGGTATAAATGCTTTTATTATTCATCGATCAATAAGACAAGGAATATGACCGAAGAGCTTTCTCAAAGATTTAGCATTAGAGCTTGTAAAAGAACATGCCTAAAAAAGGGGGCCATTCTATCTCTCTCTCGAAAAAACTGGAGTAAAAAGTTGGCGGAATAGAAGATGCAGCGACCTTCACCCTAAGAAATTGTTGTAAAATATGTTGTCACACTATGTGAGGATTTCAAACGAGATTATTGAATAATAAACTCAAGTAGGAGGGGAGGGGCGGAAAACCTATGTATTACTTATATTTTGGAATAATCGTATTTAGAATCTATTCTTTGATATGAATAATTGTATGACATTATAATGAGTTTGGAAAATTTATTTTTAATAAACTAATTATATAAAATTAACATTAATAATATATTGAATATAATTAAATCCCTTTCTTGATAATAATGTGATTTTATACAGAATATGAAAATTACTGCTGCCTTGCAATGAACACTGAAAATTTGTAAAAATAAATTAGTACAATATAGAATTATTACCCTGATATGGATTATGACATGACAGAAATGCCAAATTTAAGCACATGAAAACAGCCACAAAATTATCAGGATCAGAAGCAAATTAGTCATTGCCAACCAATCAGATGGATGTGCTGCTGTTGAAGAATCATGAGAAATTTTCAATACGGCAATGGCTGTAGTTTGAGGTCATGGACATTTGAAAAATGTTTATATACTGATTAAATTTACAATCGTAGAAATTTCAGAGCAGACAGTATTTTATGACACTCTTGTACTTTCGATGATTTGTTTACAAATTTTCCGTTGCCAAAATCATTATATTTTGTACTGACCCATAGCGTACCATGTAGAAATATTATCATTGTTATATAATATATTGTAATTTAAAAAAATCTGTTGACTTAATTTTCCTACTAATTACTTAAAATCAATGACATCATGAACAACATCAGAGGCACATAAAAAAGGAAAGCATTGCTTATGTAGTGATGAGAATACTCATTACATTTGCGTGCTATTATTTTTAGATTATGAAAACATTAGAAACCATAGTTTTGTTGTAAATGCTACATACCGATACATTTCAAATTTATGGATTTATTACTATGCATGATGAAAAGCAATTGTATATGCACTCACTAAAATACATCTTAATCATTACATTAATACTAATAAACATACACCTACAACTTCTAAACCATGTTCTCTCTCTGTCTCTATGTATTTGTAAATATATGACTTATCACATGCAGTTTATTTAAAGTCGCTTCTAATTCATATAATGATAATACAATTGGTAGCAATTACATTCACCAGTTCTTTGCATATTATCTTGATTACACAGCTGAAAAATAATTGATAAACAAAGACACTAAAGAGTGTACACTTTTTGTTTCGGGGCTAATACATAATTATATCATATTTATGATTTCCATGGTATAAATATAACTTATGAATGACTGTAAGGATATAAATATCAGACATATAGATTTTTGATTTTTGTCATAAGTTATTCTTTTATGCTTTTTTTAATTATTGTTTATGGACAGAACAGTATTTATGAGCTGCAAATTTTAGCCAAAGAAATTTTTTTTTGCCAATTCAATTTCGGCAGTGTGCCAGCAACATTTCATGACAGTGCAGATATCTGAGAGTACCAGATATACACATATGTAAATATCTAATGTCTGATAAACAGACATATAGATTCAGCACACATTTAAATTGGTCTTCATATTTGCAAATTTTACAGATGTAATTGATTGCTATAACCAGAGTTATGTTTATCTGTTAAATGGACATTATGCTATTCTTTAAGTAAATAAATGCATACAATAGCATGGAACACTGATACTAAAAAATTACAACATTAAAATTAATTACATAATTTTCTCTTAATTCTGATTTACATGATTTATATAATTCCCATTTTATTCATGAACAACCTTAATAACTATGATTAATCTCTTTGTATGATTTATTCAAAGGCCCTCCCTCCCCTTAGGCAGATAGCCCTCGAGTTCTTTGCCATATATAAATAAACCTCTTTGGATTTTTTTTTTTTTTTTTTAATTTTCAGACTCAGTAGTGTTGAGATTAAAGTGATCAACTTAATGGCCATTAATTTTCTTTCATCCGCCATAATAATAAACGAGTTTAAAATGTTAAAAAGAAGAAACTGAAATGCTTCAGTGAGTTAGCAATACAGCATGAAATTTGAAAACAAATGCCGCTTTTACCAATCTGAGCGATAAATGATTTTTCTTTGGTGTTCAAGTATGTTTAGCAAGAGAAGATGGTAACCTGGCTACATAGTTTTGGTGGAAATGAGAATTCCGAGAAATGTTTCTTTTGATGTGCTGTCTTGTGCAGCTATAGCAGATGTTATAGCAGTTTTAGTACTAACAATGAATAATAGACATATATTATTTCAGAAGTTTCTAAATCCTAGGTTAGGAAAACTACACAGAAGATTAAAAAAAAGGGAGAAATATACGGAGAAATATAATAATATAGGGAGAAATATAATAATTATTTTAAAAAAGCAGATTTCATAACAAAGTTCAACTGAACTGTTCATTATTGCAGAGATAAGGGGGGAAAAATATTTGAACGGTGGATGAAATTTCACAGATCTACCAGTTTCACACTGATGTTCCATGATTATGCAGCAGCATGATTTTTATCTTGATATCACAAAGCTGCATTTTTTTTTTTTTTTTTGCATAAAGTTAACCTTAAAACAAGCATGAGAAAATTCGCCATTTCTGGAATTTTTGTGCCTAAATAAAGGACATGTTTTGCTGATAAATAAACAAACTGTTTACATGTATTAAACAGCTCTTCATAGGGGCGAGGACTTACAGCTCTTCATGTTGGTTGTGGGGATTATCAAAACTCCCTGCATATATATACAAACGTAAACTGGAAAAAGTATTTGTAATAAGGGCTTAAAACATTTCCTGAACATAATGCTGCTTAAGATACAATTTGTAAATATTGACTAAGTTAAAACTAAACAGGCAAAAGAAAAACATGCAAGAAAATGCACAATATATTATTAATTGAACAAACAGTATTGCAAATTATAAATGGAGTTGACTTAAATTAAAACTAAAAAATGGAGTCAAAAAATCATATAAATTAAAATACAGCAGCAGAAATGACTAAAAAGAAGGAGAAGCTTATTTTTATCATCAAACTTACGTTGTCAAGAGGGGGGTAAAGTTTTCTTATGAGAATACACTTTTTCTGGATAGATTTACTCTGTTTCTGTAAGCTTAAAATTATACAAAGCTCTGAATTAATAATATAAACACATTCAGTACCCCTAAAATATACAAACTACTCCCCTACAGAACAATTCTAAAACATGCAAACAAAAAACATATGCAATATTACCAATCCTATACATCAGTTCATGATAGCTTTCACGTAGAAATGTCTTATCCATGTATTCGAGCTATTCGAGAAATTCATACTTTTCTGCAAGAGGAAGGACATGCAAACTCCAGTTACTCTCTGAACCAGACTTTTTACTAAAACTGGCATATTGCACGATATATTTGACAAACTAAATGCCTTAAATGTGTCTCTACAAGGCGATAATATGCCCATCTTGAAACTATTAGAGAAGATTGCTGCATTTAGAAGAAAACTGCAGTTGTGGATAAGAGAAATGAACGAGGATGGCAGGCAATATCATTTCCCCAAATTGTATAAATACACATCGTCTAATGAGCTAATTGTCTCTCAAAAATTGCTGTTTCTTTTCACGGAACACCTTTCGAAGCTCACTGAATGCTTCGCATAATACTTCGTGGATGAAAACATCGAGAAATATTCATGGATCCAAAATCCTTTCCATGCTCAAGCTCCAACAGAATTCACTTCACAAGAAGAAAAGAAGAAGAGAGTCTCATTGAACTCTCTTGCGAAAACAGCCTTAAAACAAAATTCGCTTGTTCTGATTTGGTGGAGTTTTGGACAATCATCAAAAGTGAATATCCAACTAAGTTCCATAGCTTTAAGGATTCTCATTCCTTTTGCAACATCATATTTATGTGAAATCGTATTTTCAGCTGTAGAAGAGGAGCAAATGTTGTTCAAAGATCAATGGGGAGCAAGAAATGAGTATGGCAGTGTCAAGTCTTATCCCTCTCTTTGAAAAACTTTGTGGAGATCAGCAAGCTCACGTGTCCATTTGTATTTTTTTTTCCCTATTTTTCTTTAATAATGATAATATAATATTCTTATGTTATCAATTCATTATATACCTATAATATAATATTCTTGTGTTATCAGTTCATTATATACCTATATGAGTCTCAGATTGTGGTTGTTTTCATTTCTGTGCTTAGTCACTAGTATCAATATAGAGTCGTATTTAATGAAGTGTGATTTGCTATGACACTATGTAGTAGGCAGGTTGCAAAGCATAAACCTTGTACTACACTTTGCTGAACATCACTAGGGCACCGTGACAAAATACTAAACCTGTAATCGCACTGCCAACTGAAAAAGTTTGGGAACCCCTGCACTATGTAATTCTTTCCCACACATCCATACCATTTATCCTAAAAATAAGGTTTAAGAATGGCCTTCATATCGCTACACAATACCTCACAGGTTTTCATTACGTTAGGCATGTTACATAAAACCTATCATTTTCAACCTGTGTATTTTTCTAATTAAAAAAACTTTTTCGCAGAGTCAAGATTCTGTAGAAATCTGAAAGCAAAAGCTTGAGAAATAAATTAGCTACTAATTCAGAAATATACAGACAGCAAAAAGTTAAAAAAAAAAAAAAAAAAAAAAAAAAAAAAAATTGACATGTCTTATTAAGGCACATAAATAATAAATATGAATCTTTAAAGTTATATAGTTTACAATTTTCAAATTTGAAATGAATTTACAGGTAAAATTTAGGTAACATTAACAGTTTTTAAAGGCTGCATATAGACTCTTTTTAAAGATGTATGCAAACCTTTTTTCCATCTTTCAGCTTTTTCATCACGTATGTACCATTAACAAGTTTCTCAAAAAACTTCCTTGATTTATGTCCTTGATCAAGGATTGGCTTTGGAGGCATAGCAATAACTTCTATGATTTTATTCATCTGATCAACCTATGGAAAAAAATGAAAAACGGAGAAAAGAATTAAACAATGGGCAAACACTGTAAATTCCTAGCAAAAAAATTCAATGTGCTGCATAATTTAAAGCTGTAATATTTTCATAATAAATGCATAAATATTTAAAAAAATGAAACACACCTTCAGCATTTATTAAATTAAGACAACCAACAATCTTTAAAGCAATGAACACAGAAGGTTGTGTTCCCCCCCCCAAATATTGTTATAAATGTATTGGCTTTCTATGAATCTATGGTTCTGTATGAAATCTGGCACTGGTTCCGGGTTTATGTGAATAACAAATCAGTTATTCTTAATTCAAATAGCACTAAAGTCAATCTTTTGGCCTATGAGTATCATTAACAAAATCTACTTTTAGCATATGGAAAGAAATTTTTTAAAAATTTTTTCTGTCAACATTTCTTAACATTTAACTTAAATCTGTAAACATCGCCAAGCGTAATGTCAACATAAAAGGTTACATGCTGTTTCTCAATTTCCAATATATATATATATTATATATCTAAAATTGTTTAGGTATCACTTCATGAACCATTACTCAAGTTATCATGGGTTGATAAATATGCGGTGATGAAAGCAAAATATAATAAATAATGATTTTCCAGATTGGCATCAGTAGTATAAAATATTAGTAGGTGTAATATAATGTTTTGGTTTGAGATGTATTGACTGGCAACTATGGAGCCAAATTATTGATCATACAAAATTTATGCTAAAATGATTGTTACTTTAATAATGAAGTCAATTAGTGCTGAAGTGAAATTAAGAATCGGGACTCTGCACATGTTTTATTACGTCGGGAGGGGGAATCTAATGCGCATGTGTACAGCATGGGAAAAAAATAAAATTAAAAAAGAAAGTTGGTAGTGGTCTTTGAGGTCCAGATTTTAGATCATTCCAGATATTGGACGTCCGGATCTCGGACTTTGTACTGTACAAAACATTTCTGTGACTAGCGAGTTACACTGAATGAAAATGAATTTTTTTTTGCCCAGAAATATTTCATTCATTTGACTATTCTTATCTTGAAAGTATAACAAAAAATTAACACCAACGAACATAATATCCATTTAAAATACATTAAGACCTTTATATAAGTATATAATATTTTAAGCTTTATCACAAGTAATTTCTGCTGTAGCAGTCTGACACACTATGACATATGACATTAACAAAATAAATACCTATTTATCATGTATTATACACGCCAAATTTTAAAACTAAATCACATAAATGATAAAATTATTACACTAACATACTAAATTATTAAATTAGTATATTACCTATACTAAAGAACAATTTTGCCATTTTATTTTTCATCATTGCATGCCTACCAACTAACTCCTGGAAACTCAAGATGTGGAATAGCCTCAAATATTTTTTTGAAATTTTTAAACGAGTAGTAAAAAACACAAAGCTATTTCACAACTAAAACACACACACGAAAAGGGGGAATGAAGGGGGAGCACACGATAATTAGAGCTTTAGAAGTTAATACAGCAGTTGTACAAATAACAGTTGAGTGAAATATAATAACCATTGTCAATGAAAAATGGAGGTGGGGAGAATTGACTAACAACAAAACAAAATGTCTACAACATTTTACTGCTGCTACATTACAATGCAGGAGCACGTTTTGAAGACACTGCCTTTGACATCCTGGGAATTCTTCCAAGAACTGCTAAAGCAGCAAATATCTCTTCATTGTCACTGATTGCTTATAAAATGGCATGAAGCAAATTCTATCTCTGATAAAGAAACTGTCACAAAAGCAGAAGTAATGATGGAGTATTGGATTTCCAGGTTTGGAGTGCCTCTTCAGCTACATTCCAATGAAGGAATAAATTTTATCTCATCTGTAAAATATTTAGCATAGACAAAACCAGGGCCTGACTTAGCCCAATTGGGGCGTGGGGCAAAAACTTCCTTGGGGACCACCCCCCTCTACTTCACTACATCAGTCTTGATGAACCGAACTTTATGGATGTATTTAAATTTTTTCACCTCATTATAGATACATAAGAGGAAAATAGAATAGAACCTGAAATACCTATAAAGTCCCCCCCCCCAATTAATGGTCAGACAAAATAATCGTTCTGTCCATTTTATTAATTTTCTGAAAATTCTATGTCCATCATTAAAAGGATATAGCACATCTGAAGAGTCACAATTTGACAAAAAAAAAAAAAAAAAAAAAAAAAAAAAAAATTCTACTTAAATTTATAATTAGAAGATGCAAAGACGTTTTTAGCAATTTGAAATAATTAACAAAAAATACCACAGACAAGTCCTATGCATTTAGAGAATAGGCTAATAAGCTTTTTTCGATGCACGTCTTCATAACATAAGAGCATATGGTTCTGCCTCTTGTTTGTCATAGTATTACAAATCCAGTTTGGCAACAACTAGCAAGCAACAGCTGAAAATTAAAACTAAAAACACTTTTAGTCTTGGAATCCAGGTTGATTTTCACAGTCTTGCAAATGAAACTAATTAATCAAAAGAACATTTGACATTTTGTGAGAATTTTGAGAAAATACACTTATATTTGATTACCATAATTTCCGGAAGAAAGGCCACATCAGCGTAAACGCCGCACTCGAGAAAAATGGCGGGAAAAAAATTAAATTGCGCGTGACATCGTCGTGGGCCGTATAGATGCAAAATCTCAACGTAAGTCCTGATATATGACACATCAGTTAAGAAAAATGCATGAAATGAAACCATAACTCAAAAATAAATTAAAGTTAAGAAATGTTGAAAATACATTTACGTTCACGTATATACTTATATTTACCCACTAAAGAAGTCCATATTTGTAATACTTAGACTATATTATAAAAAATGTTGCAACAACGAAATATAAAATTTGGATGACAAAAGGAAATTTTAAATTTTACTTACAAAAGTATTTACAGCAAACTATACATCATATGAAGCCATCAAAATCTGATTCTTCACTATCTGAATTAAAAAGATTTAGCAAATCCTGATCCAAGTCCAAGTCTTCCAGATCGCCACATTCATCCTCTTGGTTTACAGTCTCTTTACCTAAGGATATAATTTCAGCTTCTTTGAACTTTGCTATTATTGACGATGTTTTTAACGATTTCCACGCACTTCCTACCCACTCTGCAACTTCTTCATAAGAAGCTCTATGCATTTTACCGCTTTTGGTATACATATGCAATCCTTCACTCATGCAACAATCCCACCACTTTCGGATTTCAGCTTTGAAGGATTTATTACCTGACAAATCTAATGGTTGTAAGATTTTTGTCAAACCACCACAAATTATTGCTATGGTCGTAGACAATTTTTGACATCTGGTTTTCACTGACTCAAGTAAATGAGCACAAATGGAATCCATTATCAATAACCCTTTTGGTTGGAAAAAAGATCCCTTACGACACTGCCAAACTTTTTGTAGCCAATATGCATGATTGTTTCGCACATCCAGCCCTTCTCGTTTGCACAAATAATTATGTCATTAGAAAAAAGCTCCCTTCAGAGTAGTCTTTCCTTCGATTAAAAATGATCCATCAAGCTTTAGCTTGTCACCATTTTGTGGCACAAGCTAACACACATTTAAATGATGATCTTTCATGTCCCACGTCGTAAGCATTGATACAGTTTTTACACCAGTTTTATCAACAGTTCTGTTTGCAGGAAAAATCGACAAGCTAACGGCGTTTCATCTATATTTATTATCTGTGATGGAAGAATATTTTTTTGTCAATAATATCTGCCACATATTTTAGAAGAGATGCCTTTTTTATCCTGCCAGTCCATTGGTAATTGTTGCCCGACTGTTGTTCTAGTATGCACAGAAATATTTTTTCTTTTCATGAATCTGCTACACCAGTAAGGCCCTCCTTTGAAATTATTTATTTTCATTTGTTTTGACCACAAAGCAAATGCCATACATATAGAATGTTTTTTTTATGTATTCAATTTAATTATTGCTATTTTTTATTGTTTATGATAGAAATCATGATGTGCGATGAAGAACTTTTGAAATTTAAAGTTGTTTATATTAATAAAAGGAAGTTATTTTGTCTCATTGAAAACGAACATTAAAAGGCATCCGATTTGAAGTACTAAGACCTAAAACATGTATGACTCTACCGTCATTTTGTGTTATTTAGAGGTTAAAGATCAGTAATCAATTGATTTTCACTCAAAAATTTCGGAAGGAAGAGGAGAAAAAAAATTCGCAAATTGGTGGTTTCAGGGCGCGACCACCGCGTGTCAAAGGGTTAAAAAAAGTTCATTAAAGAAGGAAACAAACTTTCTATTTCACATGGGGGCCCGGTGCAACTGCCCCATATGCCCCTGCCTTAGTCAGGCTCTGGACAAAACCCAAATGATGCCTTTACATCCACATGGTAGAGAGGCTTAATTGAAACATGCTTAGCAACCTCTTGGTGATGGTTCCCAAAAGAAGAGGACTGGGATCAGAAGTTATCTCTGTTCTTACTGGCCTATCACAGTGCTGTCCACAAGACTACTGGCTATTCTTCATTCCAGATGCTCTTCCATCAGGACCTTCATCTGCCTTGTGACCTCTTGTTTGGTCGTCCTCCGGATGTGCCTTCATTGCCTGAAGAGAACATTCTGGATCTCTAGGCATGGTTTGAAGTAATGCACAATTTTACATGAGAGCAAGCTAACTTGGCAATGGAGAAGATGAAGACCCAATATGATACAAGGACTACAGGACATCCATTTAATGAAGGTGATAGAGTGTGATTATAGAATCTGATCCGAAGGAAAGTTTCTCCTAAACTACAGTTAGTTGGGACAGTCCTAAGCGAACTGAATGACATTGTAGTTTGGATCTGTAAGCCGTGAAATTCTAAATCTATGATAGTTTATTACAACAGGCTAGCCCTCATTGAATATATATGCAATACGTAGTCCTCATTACGTATATAATACAAATAGTATACTAAGACTATGGTTCTATTCTATTTGAATATAAATTTGTAAATTCATGAATTTATTGTTGATTTAGTATTTGATTAGTTGTATGTTACTTATTCAAATTATTGTTTAGTACTACATTGACTTTCCTTAGTTGTAAGCATGGTTTCCTGTCTATCCCCAGCATGTGCAGTCTTTGGGAAAGAGGACAATGTTAAAAATATTATATTTTAAATATTTTATGCAAAATTTATATTTAAATTTAATTTAAATTTAAATATAAATTTTGCATAAAATGACAGGAATGGCATCAAGAAATGTGAAGCTTTGCAGAGAAAAATTAGGTAACAGAGGCAAGGCAATTAACTTTGAAGTAAATGGTTATTTGGGTAAATTGGCAAGATATCGCCACCTTGGCTACGGTTCTAGCAACTAATTTTGTTGCAAATTTGGCAAGAAATAAAAAAAGTCACCTAACTTAAAAATATTTGGGTCCAGTCCCTGTATAACTGTAATTGATCCCTATATGTAACTGTAACCACCATATCCGGCCCTTATGTGTAACTTTAACCATACAAGCCTTCCAGTAATTCAGAGAAATGGAAGGTACAGGAACTTTGTGGCCAGGTAAAAACCATATCAGATGGAAGACAGCAAGTATTTTATATATTTTTTTTATTTTTTTAAAATTCTTTATATAAATTCAGAATTGAAGTACTGAGTCACTATGTGTGAGCTTTGCTCTTTAGATGTGCTTAGCATTGTGCTGTGTTAAACATTCTTAGTGGTTTGAAATGGTAACTACTGATTGTGCTCTATCCGAACATGATCAGTTTGTCACACTGAGAAGAGCCGTGTAAGTACTTTTGTGGAAAGCTTCAGAACTGTAAAGTGTTTCTTTCAGAAAAAGAAAATTTTTATCAAACTATCATTGGTTCTATGTGCATTCAATCCATTACGAACCTGTATACACACAACAATATTAATAATTATATACTACATAATATTAATACAAAAGAAAGACAATAAAATATAGTCAAAAGTCTTTAATCCGGACGTCCATAATCCGGAATAATCTATAATCCGGACATCAAAGCTACAAACTTTCTGCGCATGCGTAAATGCATAATGCATCTACGCATGTGCATAATACCTTTACGCATGCGAACAATACATTTATGCATGCACATTTAACGTATAATGGACAGTATAAGCTAAGCTAAAATTATCTAATTATCTATTTCAGTTAATGTTGCAGATTGCGTTGTTCCTTAATCTTCGAATTGGATCTGGCTTATTATTTTCTGCATACTGTTAGAGCAATTTTATAAAAGTAAGCTTGAACTTTCGATTATGTCAAATAGAATTTCCAATTCTGGAGCTGCCAAAGGATCTACAAAGCGAAAGCATGTTTCGATGCCCATCAAACCAAAATTGGAATTGCTGCAAAAAATGGATAAAGGCATATCCTTTATTTCTCTAACAATTCCAAAATCTGCTTATCAATTTCGCACTGCTCTGGGGGGGGGACACCGTGGCACGCAATTAACTGGAAGTTGATCTGTCAGCACTATCCTTATCTTCAGGCAGATGTTTTTATTTTATTCAGCTTATAATTCCTTACTAAATGTAGTATTTCATCTCAATGTACTCCATCTTTGATATGATTTAAATCAAACAGTTTTCTGGTTGCAATTTTCTAATTTCGACTATGCGTAATGTATGCTTTACGCATGCGCGCGTTGAAATGTTTAATAAAGTAAAAAAATAAATATTAAGCTTTTTATTTTGTAAATTTTGATAACCTTTAGATCACAATTGGTCTTTATTTCATAAATTACAGTTTCATATTTTAATTGTATAATTTCTCTATGTCATCTTACCAGATTTAAATTGATGGTCTATAATCTGGAAAAACCGATAATCCGGAATCGCCGAAGTCCCGTCGAGTCCGGATTAAAGACTTCTGACTGTATATAAAATGATGATACTTCTAAAAAAAAGCCAAGTACCTCATTTGCTCCACTGAACAGAGGTTCTCCTGTGTGCATTTCAACTAAAATACATCCCAGACTCCAGATATCAATAGCCATGTCGTATGGAATGCCTAAAAGAACTTCTGGTGATCGGTAAAACCTGCTCTGAATATACTGATAAATCTGAAAACAAGTGAAAAATTTTTAAATATGTAGAGAGGTAAGTATTTTGAATATTTCGAATACAATAAATTTCATGACATATTCATAAATTAAGGACAATATTTTATGGATTTAAAAAAATAATTTTTTGACAATTAAAAATAAGCATGGGAAAAATCTCCGCTATACAACCACTTACAATTCTAGATAATTTCAGATAGCTGCGATAGTTTGTGCTTAAAGAATATGACTTTTGGTAATGCTTATAAGGTATTTCTCCCACCTCCTTAGCGAGCTTTTGTGCTGTAGTAGTCTGCACGCTCAGCGCGTAATTGAAAGGTACGCGGTTTGATTCCCAGCGAAGGCGGTTGCTCAATTTTCATCTTTTCTGCTTCAAAAAAATACTAATGTCTGTACATGCTTAATACTGATGCTTGTTAATGCCCTCAAAAACAATAATCACTTTAGAGGGAACTGTCCACAGTAGACAGTTCTCATAAAAATTTCATCACAGAGTGTAGTTGTATTATATTTACCTTTAAGATTTTTATTTTGCTTGAAATAGGTTTAAAAGAAAATAATGTATTATATTTTAGCTCACTTACTATATATATATATATATATATATATATAAAAGAGACTTAAATAGAAGTAGAAATAATTTTCCAATGGTTATAAAATTATTATAGTTCATAATTAATTAAAAAAAAGTACAGAACAGGATGACTTCAGTACAAACTATATATATTTTGCTTGACATAATAATACATTAATAGCATTTTATGGTATATAAATAAATACCTTAAAAAGTTCTATTTTTGAATTTTATATGCATTAAATTTATTTTCAGAGCTCATATCAGAACAGGCTCAAAAGTTATTATATTCCATGAAACCATACGAAAAATAGTAAGGATTTTTAATGCTTTTAGATTTATATCTTAATCTCTTGCTCAGGCTTCCTTATCGCAAGAGCCTATTTTTATTAGATTTTGAGATTACCAGGAATATTCGATGATAAATATTACTTCATAGTATGTAAACACACTAAGCTCAGTGTTTCATACAATACATATGATTGTTAGTTTTCAATCGAGGTTTATAATTCAATCATTATCTTATTTTTAGCCAGTACTTTAATCTTGACAAAAATCTGCATTATACACAAGGTTGTTGCTTTGCCCAATTTCTTTATTAAAATCCACACCAAACAAATAGCTGTTGCTTTGCCTAATTTTAAGTTTTATATTGCTGTGTTTCTTTTCTGCGTTGATTTTTGCTACACACTGGTATTTTCAAGTTTTTCTCACTGGTCAAGTCTCAAGGTCACTCACTGGCATTTCACTCATTTTTTTTGCTACTCACTGGCATTTTCAGTTTTCCTTGCTCCTGATGAAGAGGGGCCTGCATCTGTTTGCCCTTTAAATCGACATAGTTTTGACTTAAGCTTTTGCTAAACACAAGGTTGTTGCTAATTCAGAAGTCAAACAGCAAAAATCAGCGTTATATTTTCAAATTTCCACAGGACTAGTTTCGATGTTTTGACTGAACCACCATCCTCAGCTGCAACTGCAAAAGCAGCTGACGATGGTGTGATTTTGCAGCTGAGGATGGTGGTTCGGTAAAACTATCGAAACTAGTACTGTGGAAATTTGAAAATGTAACACTGATTTTTGTTTTTTGACTTCTGAATTAATATTTGTTCGGCGTGTTATTTTGTTTTTATTACAAGGTTGTTGCTTTGACTAATCAGAGCTTTCTAGTTATAGCCGGTAGGCCAATCAGAAATCCATAAATACTAAAACATTATGATATAACTACTAAAGGCTCACTATATGTATTCAGAAACTTGTTGATTCTACTGCAAATAAGTAAGGAATTAATATGGTGTAGGTCCACCGTTTGCTGCAGTGACAGACGTCATTCTATCATAAAGATTATCCTCTAATATTCAAAATGTTACAAATGGAAATTTAGGCTTTCTTTCAAATGAGTAGTAGCCAGTTTTATTGCAAGTATACAGCTGCACAACCAGACACATAGCCGAAATTCCACTGCATCTCGTAAGTACTTTACGAAGTTGAATTCTGGGTTCTGATCATGCCAATCAGGCTGTTTAACATTCTTGTCAGGAAAACCAGTTCTGTATGGCATGCACCTTTGGATGCAAATATGATCTTCCTAAAATGGCAGTGATATCACATTATACTATTTTCATAACATTAGCAGACTAGTCTAAATATTAAGTTATGTCCTTTGTGGTAACAGTTTCCTTCACGAAAGCCAGAGGGCTGAATCCAAACCATGACAGATAGCCCCGACTATTATGCTTCTGATACCATACTTCATTTTGGGCACTGTATACTCAGGTAAGTATCGCTCACCCAACATTTTTCACATCCAATGGACTGACAAATAGTATAGCAAGATTCATCAATCCACAGCACATGTTGCCACTGCTCAAGATTCTAAGGCTAAGTTTTAACACCACCAATAATACTATATGCAGCTGTTCAGCACTGAAAACTTAAAACTTCTCATGTGCTAATGTTATGTTAAAAAGTGTCTTGGTATTCCAAGCAGTTCCCTTTCACAAGTCTCCAATCATTTTCTGTAAAATAGCATGGCCAATTAACTTATGGTTGTTCAGACATAGCTTCTTGTGTATGTTTTCACTTCATTAAAATATTATTTACAGCCGAATAAGAAAGATGTTATTTTACAAAAATTTTGTATAAAGAATTTTCACAGTGATAAGAATTAATAATCTCTTTTCCACAAAGTCATTTAGTTTACGGTTCTTCCTGGAACAACACTGTTAAGTTTCATGTCTCTTTAACCCCTTCGAGCCGGGTAGCGAAAACGCGCGCTTATCGCGGAGGCCGGCAGTGTCTTCCGTGAGCGTCTCTCCAGGGCCGGGGGCTTTTTTGCTACTAAGCCTAAATCCATGAAATCTCCGAAGTATCAACGCACTGTTTAATAATGCTCTATAGAGTATTTAAACGGCTTATGCTTTATAGATATTTTTATAAATATACTTTAATTACCTTATTTCTTGTTTAAATGCAGTTTTCACATTTTATTAATTACTCACCATTTTATGACTTTTAACATTATACATCTGAAAACTATATATATTACTTAAAATTCTCTTTTCGTATGAAAAATTTTAAAACAGGGATCTACACACAGTCCTACGTTACATTCCTTGAACTCGTAATAACTCATTTGCCATTTTGGAGGATTTTTCCGGGAATGTGAACAAACGAAGCATCGTCGTCTCATTTTCTCATCAGTCTCTTCTGAACAAAGTTTGGAAAATGTCTTTCAGTTAATATTTCAGAATCAATATCAGAATATCAGAATTTCAGAATCAATATCTGAAATATTTTTGCATCATTTCTGCTATTTCATGCTCTGTTAAACATTTTCGACGCTTCGACATTGAAAGGGTAAAAACAGAAAGAATTCACGTCTAACAAGATTTAATTATTTTCTAAAAACTGAACTGTAAACCGAAATACTCAACGCTTTAGTGCATATAAAACTTCTACTTACAATAAACAACTACCATGTGCGAATAAAGGTGCGATTTAAAGAGACGTCATAAATCACGCCATTCGGAAAACATTTAGTTCCCCGTTTGTTTTATATATCAAAAACACTGTATGTGAGTCATGCTTCTCTCATTTCGAGTAGAAGGTCTAATGTACATATATCTGAAACCATATGGACATACAGTGCCATCTTGTGGCAGAAATTATAGTTTGAAAAACGTTCCAAGGTACTGGCACGAATACGTGACAGTCGGTAGAAAACGCAACAATGCTCTGGCATGCCTGCGTGTCGGCCGATAGATAAGTGTGTTCGTTGCTGGCACGTATACATGACAGTCGGCGCGAAGGGGTTAATATCTGTTCGACTGATGCTGTGATGTCAACTACCTTCCACTTGTGGGAAATGCAAAAGAATACATAGGAAAATAATATAAATTCTTGTCACACTATTAATCAGAACAAATGACTGCCAGTATTCTTCAATTATTATATACACATAACAGTGAATAGAAAAAAGGTCTGTTTATATAGATATTAAAAGATTTCTTTAAGGCAAAACCTGCATTCAATATTTTGCCATGCTACTTGTAGCTTTCTTATAGAACTCTGACACTAACATTCCAAAAATTATTTAAGAGTGTATAAATAATAAGCATCTTAGAACTGAGATAACAAAAATGTTCAGAATAAATTATGTTAGCTCACACATTAACCATCAAAATATTATGTTAAATGCTTTCCAAAAATGCTATATCATAATATTTAAAAAATGAAAATTATCATAAATATTAATTCGTAAAACAGAACACCAATACAACATTAATGCATTAAATTTCTTCTAAAAATTTTGAGCTTGGAAAGAAAACAGATTAAAGATTCTCAACTTATATACAATAAGTTTCACTTAATCATGAACTGAATGAATTACATGCTGTAAATACAAACACACACACACACACAAATACATTATATGATAAAATTTATTTTTAATATATTGCCTTTCAAGGACTTTTAGAATATGTATTACACCAAATATCAACTACACCTTTGATATTTGTCTAGTACAATATACACAAATATTAAATTACAATATTAAAATATTAAATATTTAAATACAATTAAGATTTTTGAATTTAAAACATATCTTACTTCCAAAAATATATACAAATTTTTTTTTTATTTTAATTACTTTAATTTAAAAAACTTAGATACTTTAGTAAATAAAAACACACATACATTTTAGTTTTGAAAAATCAATATTAAAGGTAAAAAATATTAAAATGTACCCTCTGTCCCAGTTGGCATGAGCTTCCGAAGTCAACTACTTTGATTGCACTTCTTTTTGGATTGCAGAGAAGAATGTTTTCCGGCTTTAGATCACAATGAATAATTTTGAGATCAGGATGAGAAAGGAACATGAGTGCCGTGCACATTTGCTGAGCAAATTTTCTGGTCAAATTCAGAGAAACACCACGAAAGTTTGTATTCCTCAAGAGGTCATACAAGTTGTGTGAAAGAAGTTCAAAGACTAAACATAAGTGATTTTTCCACATGAAATGCCTTTTCAATTGCACTGAGGGGAAGAAAAACATGAAAAATTTTACTCTGGGTTATGACATAATGAAAAAAGTACCATGAAATAATAAACAATAAATGATTTTGTATCTAGTTTATGAAGAAGTTAAGCCTTAATATAAAAAGAAAGATCAATATACCTTAAACATGAAACAGAGTTCCTACCACTTATTTTTAAGAAAATTCATTACTTAATATGAAGGCCAAAACTGGATCACAAATCTTACCATGGGGACACATCATCTTAATACCAGAGGAGGAAAATCCATTAAAATCAAGCTGATTTTGAATGCTTTTGTTATGCAAATAAATGCCTGATGCAGCAGCATTTCAACCATCTTATTTAAACATCAATGTATTAAATTTTCTTACAAATAGGAGATAACAGCAGAAACACTTTAGTTTTTAATCCTTTATAAATTATTAAAACCAGGAAGTATCATTTCTCTACTACCTGGAAAAATCTTAATATTCTACTGTAGCACTGAAAAGTAATGCCAATCATTTTCAGCAACATTACACATGTGAAATATAGGAAATATATATTTCACATATAACTTGAGGTAGACCTCATTATGTTTCTGAAGTCGTTTCACTGGGGCTTTAATTCGAAACCTTGATTTTACTCCAATCAGGTCTAAAAGAGCCAGAGTACCTATTCATATTACTATAATATAGTTGATTTGTGAATGTAAATGTTGCAAAAGTTACTAGATTATAAGGCACTTCTCCTGCCTTCTAAGCATGCCTTTGTGGTGTAATGATCAGCACACTCAGTGCATATTCGAGAGGTCCGAGGTTCGAGTCCCAGCGAGGGCATTGCTCATTTTTCATATTTCCTCCTTAAAAATAACCTAATATCTCTACAGTGGAGCCAAACTAAAAAAGGTGAAGGATTATGATTCTCCCCAGTCGCTCTTTAAAAGGGGGAGTATATAAGGTATTTCTCCTGCCTTTTTAGCATGCCTTCATGGTGTAATGGTCAGCATGCTCGGTGCGTATTCGAGAGGTCCGAGGTTTACGTCCCAGTGAGGGGATTGCATATTTGTCACATCTCTCAGCATCAAAATAACCTAATGTCTCTACAAGATGCATCAACTGCTGAAAAATATATTGAACAAAATGAGGACGGAAGTGATCATGAATTATTAGTTTACATCAGGGATGTCAAACTCACAGGTACACTTGGGCCAAACAAACAAGGTTTAACTTTAGGGGGGCCGCAAAAAAAAAAAAAAAAAAAAAAAATTCATAGAAACGTAGATTTATTTCGAATAATACAATAATAAGCATATATATACCGGGTGATCAAAAAGTCAGTATAAATTTGAAAACTTAATAAATCGCGGAATAATGTAGATAGGGAGGTAAAAATTGACACACATACTTAGAATGACATAGGGTTTTATTAGAAAAGCAATAATCTGATCAGAAAAGCAATAATTAGCATAACAAATTAAGACAAAGCAAAGATGACGTTCTTTACAGGAAATGCTCAATATGTTCACCATCATTTCTCAACAATAGCTGTAGTCGAGAAATGATGTTGTGAACAGCACTGTAAAGCATGTCCGGAGTTATGGTGAGGCATTGGCGTCGGATGTGTCTTTCAGCATCCCTAGAGATGCTGGTCGATCACGATACACTTGTGACTTCAGGTAACCCGAAAGCCAATAATCGCACGGACTGAGGTCTGGGGTCCTGGGAAGCCAAGCATGACAAAGTGGCGGCTGAGCACACGATCATCACCAAATGACGCGTGCAAGAGATCTTTCACGTGTCTAGCAATATGGGGTGGAGCGCCATCCTGCATAAAAATCGTACGTTCCAGCTGGTGTTTATCAGCCAGGCTGGGGACGATGCGATTTTGTAACATATCGGCGTACCTCTCACCCGTCACGGTAGCAGTTACAAAACCAGAATCACGCATTTCCTTGAAGAAAAAAGGCTGATAACAGTAAACTTTTTATGGTTCTAATAAAACCCCATGTCATTCTAAGTATGTGTGTCAATTTTTACCTCTCTATCTACATTATTCCGTCATTTATTAAGTTTTCAAATTTATACTGACTTTTTGATCACCCGGTATATTTATATAGAAAACAACAAGAAAAATTTAATGTTTACGTCTTGATACTTGACATCTCTTCTCTGCTATTATCTTTCCTATTCCGGGAGAAATTTTGTTTGCAGTGATAACTTTCAACGCTGACCCAAGGTGAGCATCATTAATACGGTTTCTAATAGGAGACTTATTACCTTTCATGACTGAAAATAACTGCTCGCACCGATAAGTGCTACCAAACATGGAAATAATTTCATATGCGTATTTTCAAGAAATTTGTCTTCGAGGGAACTAAAATCATTAAACCTCGTTTCAAATTCAGGTGTTAAATTTGCAATTTTTTCTGCGTATTTTTGATACGAACAAGTATCATCTAAACTTGATTTGTTCATGCTGCACATCGGGAAGTGCATCAAATCTTCATTTTTAAGTTGTTTTTCCCAAAGAACTAGTTGACATTTGAATGCTTTAATTATGTCAAGCATGTTTGTAGTGATATGGTCTTTTCCTTGTAACGATAAATTTAAATCAGTTTAGTGTTTGGTTATATCAACCAAGAAAGATAAATCTTGTATCCATATTGGATCATAAAACAAACTTACGTCTTGATTTTTCGTTTTTAAAAACTGACATATTTCTTCTTTCAAATCCCAGAATTGTTTGAGAATCTTGAGCAAGATAACCAACGTACCTTGCTATAGTAGGACAAACCCGAATATTCACTATCTAACTCACTTAAGAAAGCAGTGAATTGACGCTGATTTAAACCTCGAGATCTTATAAAATTTATAACTTTTTTTATATATGACAAAACATTCTCCATATTTATTACTTTCATGCATAGAACTTCTTGATGTATAATACAATGCATATGATGAATGTTTGAACCGTGAATTTCACTAAGGATTTTTCTTAGTAATGCTATGAAACCCTTGTTTTTCCCGGTCATTGATGGCGCGCCATCTGTAGCTACAGAATTTAATTTTGCCAAAGGTAGATTGTATTTCTGCAGAAGTCCAAAAACACAAGTAAATATATCTTTCTCCTGTGGTAGTACCAGGCATCGGTATTAGTTCCAGTAACTCCTCAAAAATGTTAAAATTCTTGTCACAAGAACGAAGAAACACTGCTAATTGAGCTTTGCCACTAATGTCCGTGCTCTCGTCACAGGCAATGGAGAAACTTTCGAAACTAGATGATTTTGCTTTGATCTGATCACTTAAATTTGCGGCTAAATCAGTAACTCTTTCCGCAACTGTATTTCAAGACAATGAAATTGATTGAAAAGCCTTCACATTTCCAGGACAAACAATTTCTCCAGCTTTCATTAGGCATTCCTTGATGAAATCACCGTCAGTAAAAGGCTTCGAATGTTTAGCTATCAACTCGGACAAGACGTAGCTTGCATGTACCGACGCTTCACTTTCTTGCAATACTTTACTAAACATGGACTGTTGCTTTTTCACTAACTTGAGCTCTTTCAACTTTTCTTCTCTCATTAATCCTTCGTAATTGTTATATTTCGATTTGTGTTGTTCGTGATGACGTTTAATATTATATAACTTTGGTACATTAATAGTATTATTACAAATCAAGCATATTATTTTATCTTTTATTTCACAGCAAAAATATTCTAATTCCCATTTTACTTGGAATATTCTATGTTCGTCAGCGATTTTTTGTTTAATTTTACTACCACTTGGTTTTGATATAGACATACTGAATACAAAGGGCTGGAATAAACACGGTTAACGTTAAAAAGTTAACAAAAATTTATTCTTTCCACAAGAGATAAATCAAGGCTCTGAAATATTTCTTCAAAAATATTCTAACATTATCACAAAATGTCAAATGTTTAGCAAAAATCAATTCAAAACAGAGAAACTAATTCTATCTCACAGCGAAATCGCTACAAATCAATCACAGCATTAAGTAAACAAACAGTTCGCTAGAACTACAGCTACTACTGAGATGAGTTGTTTGTTTCTCGGCTTTTATAAGCTTTATAATTAATTTCTCTCGAATATACTGGAAACATCTATAAATATCTGGATTTTTGTGGATGGCAACAGCAATTACGAGCTATTTATTTATTAGGTATTATTAAATGCACGCGCTGTTCTATTTTTAACCTTCCAACGCAGCTGTCTTTTCAAAAATCGTCTGCGTTGCTAAGGCAACATGAAGCAAATCTAATTACAGTTCTAATATAAATAAATAAATAAATAAATAAATAAATAAAAAAAAAAAAAAAAAAAAAAAAAAAAAAAAAAAAAACTAAATAAATAACTATGAAATCCGTAACAATATGAATTAAGTAATAATTAATAATAAAGCAAAGTGCATGCACATGTATGCACCAATATATCGTACAAAACTATGATTGGAAAACTGAGACCATGAGTTCGGCCACATTCGGCTATCGGAGGATGCGTACAAGTTCTGAGTGCACGTGTCCCCAAAAGCCGAAGGTAGCTGAACACAAGCTACTCACACGCATTTGTAATTTAAGTAATGTGTGTCAGCTCACTGTGAGTAATCTAACAACACTGAATAAATTATCGTTAATTACTTAGCAGTAAACATTTCATTTTTTTCTTTGTCGATATGTTATTTTATTATTAATATATTATTATTTGCCGATATATTGGTCGGGCCACAAAAATATTTCTTGTGGGCCGCATGCGGCCCGCGAGTTTGACATCCTTGGTTTACATGATACTGATATAGATATTGAAAATGAGAGTAAGAATGGCATAAATTGCTTTACTCGAAAAAAAAATTATTGGAAACAGGAGAGGGGGGGGAAGATGCAGTGTTTGCCCAGCGAAAAAGCACAGAAAAATGAGTAGCTCATATAAGCACACATGCTCCCAGGTTAAATGAAATTTTTAATAAATGTCACATACACTACCAAATAAATTAATATCACATATAATATTAAATTTCAATAAATATGTTAATGTTCTTGAATTAATGCATATTTTCTATTGCATAATGATTCAATAAAACTATGCTTACATTTTATTAAAAAAAGGGGCCTAAAACTATTCTAAAAGAATAGATATGTTTGTCATCACATTTACTTCCATGCCACTAATGGCTGTAAAATCAAGACCAGTTTTCATCTAGAACATTAATTTTAGATCTTTGCTTTGCATTTTTGAAATCCTCACCTCTGTTAGCTTATTTTATGAAACAGCAACGCTTATATCTGGACTTCCCATCAGATTAAAAACTTTAGTTGTCATAATTCACTTTTTATAACTACTTTTGAATTATATTTCATTACCCATTTTCCATCATGGGTAGCATTTCTGCATACCTTTTTCAGCAGAAATCATTTGTGAAATCACTTATCATTAACTAGTGCCTATTCAAATATCTACATCAGTCAAATTCTATGTCTCAAGTAGACCAAATAATCATCAGTGTACAATAGTTTGTGGGCTGCAAGAAATAAAAAGCCACTGCCATACTTCATTATGAAGTGAATGAAAAGTAAGTAAATATATATGAAATGTTATCTGATATATAGTTCTTTGAAAAAAGGGGGAGGAATATAACGATTGTACAGTAGATGGATAACTAGTGTTTCTTTCCCAACAACTAGTGCCTTTTCCTAAAATCAACTTTCAGATATTTGGAGACATGGTGTTTGCACTAGCAATACTCAGCTGGGAACTTATTTCTTTTCGTAAGTCAGAAAAGCTGTTCACACTGGTGTGCAATACCAAACATGGAAGGCCCGTGATTTAAATTTGCAGCTTTCTAGAAACTTTGGAGGCAAATATATCTTTGAGAATCAAAATTCGCTGAGAAAATACTTTTATGACCGTCTCAAGAGTCCTTATTAGTACCCCAGTTTGTACCTATGCCTCGATATTCGACATAATCCCTATTTTTATTAATGTAAAGAAAGTGAAAAAAATACATCACTATAATAAAAACATATTTTTTGTCAATGCAGAGCCACAGAAAAATGATTTGGGCAGTGAATATGACATGCCTGATGTACATCATTCACTAACTAAATTCAATTGCCCTTTTTGAATCCAAAAAACATTTATTTCTTGGTCATGGTCCTCTGCTTCAGAATCTCATACAGAAAGTTTTGAAATTGTATATGTGTGTTGAGTTATTCCATTTACTGGATATAACATACGAATCATGTTACACTTTCTTAATTTTTGTAATGATTTACTCCATTTCTATCCAATAACAGGCAATTCACTGATAGTTTCACTATGTTTAACAAAGTTTCTAACATTTAAAAAGAAATGCACCTTAAATTTTGCCTTTATATTGAAGTTACACATTTATTAAATATTAAACCCTTTATTTCAAACAATACATAATTTACTTAATTAATCAACTTCAATCTATTAATTTACTTAATCAATAATAAACATTACATAATTACTTATTTAATGCAAAACACATATCATATTTCAAATATATTTTCAAGTTATGTGATTATTAATGAAAAGCTGTTTGTGAAAAGAAAAGGAAAAAAATTACCAATTTTTTCTTTTCCTTGTTGATAAAACGTGTCACTAACTTCTTCATTGTTCATTAATTCCAATAATTTTACTTCTATTTGAGCTTGATTAAGGAAAGGTTTTTTATTTTTAATAATTTTAATGGCAACATGGCATTGCTCCTCATGGTCAAATGCTTTCACAACCTAAAATGTCAAGAAAGCCCATACATCAGTCTATAATATATAACACTTGACAATACACAATGAAGCATTATAGATCTCACATCATACTATGCAAGGCAAAAGTAGAAGTAAGAGATAATATTAAAAAACTACACATATGATAGATGTGCATATATGTATACATATACACACAAAACTACCTTTTATCTCTCATTTGATGCGGTAGTAACATACAAACAGTTTGCTTGCTTAATATCTAACATAAATAAGAACAGATCTCATAATTTCAGAAATGATTTCTCTTTCTTTGACCACAATCAAATAAACAAGGGGATTTTAATTACAGTGTATCAGAACACTTCTGAACCTCACTACTACTGCCTATGCTCCAGAATACCGCTAAAAGAAACCTTAATGTATACATGAAAATTTTAAGTCCAAATTTTGCTCTTTAAATTTTGGAATTTTACTATAAAAAAAAAGTTCTAATAATAAATTTGGTGGTGTGATAAACTTTGCTTTAGATATACAGAAAATTTTGAAATACACAAGATCATAATAATAAATGACTACCTGTAAAACTTTTTGACTGATTTTAGTTCTATCAGTTATATTCAAAAATTAAGAACAAGCTCAGAGATGAGATCTGCAAAGCTTTATTAATTATAATACCTGTCCAAATGATCCTTTGCCAATAAGACAGTCTATTTCATAACGTTCTATCAGTTCACTATTACGTACAATGTAATCATGATTTTCGTCATCATAACCATCATTATAAACTTTCTTTTCTTTTTTATTAATGGAATCTTCACTCTGTGATTGCTGAGCTCGTCGTTTCTTTTTGGCATAGTACACCTATAATACACAAAAAGTAAAGAACTACTTATTAAACATGTAAATCTATGTTTGAAATCATTTGATAATGGTGCTACATATAATATTATAATAAATGTAACACAAAGCTTCAGTAATAACAGCAAATAATTAAACATAATTAATAAAAACAAAATTATATTTCAGTTTCGAAAAATCCAGTTTTGACACCAGAAATGATAAGATCTGAGTGTTCATTTATGGCTTTACCGGTTTTATTCTATAGTCTGACATAAGTCACCAGGACTATAAATAAACTTGAAGCTAAAAGTTTAAGACCAACCAGATATAAATTTAATTTATTAATTATTCAATACAAAGCATTGAAAAATAACAACACAGCAACATTGTTCATCCTTATGATATAAATTACCGTATATTCTGCACATAACGGGCACTTTCATACAAAAAAATAAAATCAAAATTTATACGTGCGTGTTAAACGCTGGATATAAAAATGATAGATTTAAAATTAAGAAAAAGATGAGGAGGGGGGGGGAATATTAGATTTTTACATGTACCTAAATTATGTTTATTTACAAGAAAAATAGCTTGTTCATAAAGTTCATATCTTATGAACTTCAAACTTTTGATTATCGGGTAACATGAGAAGTTCGTCATATTTGATTCCATTGTATCTTCAGGCACATCATTGAATTCTGTTTCATCTTCATAATTACAGTTACTCTGATCTATAAATAAATTATCATCTTCCATTCCATTTAGATCGTTAGATATACTATACTTCTTAAATGACTTTTGAATTTTGTGAGATTTAACTTCATTCCATGCTTTTATTATCCATTATTATTACATTATTTCTTGACTGGCATAATACATTTGGCTTCCTTTTGTAAATGTGTTTTCACTTTCTAACATCCACATATTCCTCTGTTATTTTTAATTTCTTTCGAATGGTTTATTGGTATACACATCTAAAGGCTGAACTAATGGCATTAATCCACCTGGAATAAAGACAATGTCTGTACACAATTTATTTATTTGTGTTGTCCGTTAGATGGAATTTTGAATATGTCTCAACTAAAAGACTTCCTGGATTCTTTAAGACAACAGGATGCTTTTGCCACACATTTCTTATTCACAGTTTTACACCATTTTTGTACATCCATGCTTTCTCATAAACATAATGAACATTTGGAAAATTGCATTTTGGCATTTTCTTTTAAAAATAACCATGGGTTTTAATTTTGTACTATCCACTAAGCAGGAAATCACTATGGTGAGGTAAGACTTTTAAAAGGTTTGTACTCATTTCTGCATGTGGAAATTAAGTATTTTTAAGGAATTTTAAGGACAACCAATGAAAAAAAATTAAGGAGCTATCAGCAAATATGAACTGAATAAGCAATTATCTACACTCGACCTTACTTTTTTAATATCACTTTTGTAATTTATAAGAACAAAATAAATCTGCAAATGTGATGCATTATTATTAAACCTAATTTAATTATTAATAAACCTAATTTAATAATAAACTTAATTATAAAATAAATTCAAGAATAAAACCAACTTCATAAATTTTTTCAAGTATTTAGCATTAAATTATAAAATTTTTTGAAATATTTATATTTTACGTTTATAATAGTCCCATATATTTTAAAAAAGATTACTGACTTTCTATTTAAATATTAGTAACATTTAGCTTGATACTGATTCTTCCTTTTAAGTTTCATTTCATTACGTACTCGCCACGTCCATAGGTTTATGCAGATTTTATGTCTAGTGCAAGTTAAACTGAGAAGTAAAAAAATAATCAGCATGACTCATAACAGAAGCTTGGTTGTTGCCTCAGCTGCTTGCTTACAGACAAACAGCCACTGATCAGAACAGAACAGACGTGCACGTCTGACACACCTCTGACGTTAATAAGGTTGATTAGTGTTTAAAGTTAGCTGCACTTTGTCTGCTTCCACTTAGTGTCATAGTTTCATGTAGATTTGCTTCAGTTGTAACCCAGTTAATGTACCTTATTTACAGACCACCATGTCGCCTGAATAATGTTACAATTGGACAGATTGCCATGGATGCTGCTGGTGTAAAGGTCACAAAAAATGTCATATCTACATGCTTTATCACAAGCATTTTGAATGTAAAAAAAATACGGAAACTAAATGTTTCCATAATAACAAAGGCTTTATGGATGAAGTAGTGATGTGTTGCAACTCAACTCTTGCTGAGATCCGATGGCTGAGTGACGTCATCTCGAACTATGAACTCTCGCTTAGAGATCACGAGAACTCGGAACTGAGAAATCGCACGCTGCTGCGACGTGCAAACATTTAAACCTTTTCATTATGTAAATATCCTGTAACCGTTTGCGTCTTCATTAAATATGTTTGTGTTAAGAAAGTTTATCATTTATGGATTATCCCCTTCAAGATTTTGCAGGTATTCACAGAGAAGAATTCATCCAGTGGCCCTGGCTGAACCCATTGGAACAAGGTAAGCAGTTTTGTTTACCTTGATTAATTAGTTAGAAGATAAGGATATAAATAATAATATGATGATTATAGTGATGCTTATTCATGATGTCTTCCCTACATAAATTTTGGTGTCGGAAGTAAGTTTATTCCCATAGCCGAATTGTGCTTAGTGTGGCGTTCTCATTGCTATTGCATCTGGATTATTAAAGTTCAACAATTTTCAAAAGGATTACATGTGAGCATTTTACATTTATAATTTTTGCTTTGATTGATTAATTTTTTAAAGCAGAAAACATGGCTTCTGAAGAAAATTTTGAAAAATTGAAACAAAAATATAGTGTTGAAAGAAGAAACTAATTTCAAGAACTAGTGTTGCTTTAGAAAATGAAAATGTTACATGTGATATCTTAGATGAACATCTGGAAATTTTAATTAAAAAAATGAATACTCAAACTGAACATTTCATCGATGTAAACTTAACTGAGGAAGAAGTAAATGTTAGTATTTATTACTAAATACATTAGTACTTATTACAAGAAAAATGTATCAGGTATACTAACAAACTTAAATATTTATGGAAACAGAAAGAGAATTTTAATAACTTGTCAACATCTTCAAAACTGTTAAGTACTTTGAATGTTAGCTTAAATTTACCCTCTTCAGTTAAACTTTATAAGTTAATAATCAAACTGCATTCAGGACAGCTGAAATATTGGAACAAATTTTTGGAATTCATTTTGAAACACCATCAATCTAAATGATTCACTTTTAAAAATAGAACAGTTTACCCATTAAAAAAACATACTTGACTGAAGGAGCATTAATTGTAATATCTGGTTTTTAATTAACTGATAAAAATTATGACAGTAAAAGTTACTTAAAGATTGTTTTGGTTGTAAAGATATAATCACTGACTCTCTTATGAGTACAATTTTAAACTTGCAAAGTGTTAAAAATTTTTCAAATGTTCCAGCTTTGCGAAAGTTATTTGATGAGCTTAATGTATTGCTATATGAAATTTAGATTCAAACAGGATTCAAAATCCTATGGCCCACTAATTTCAATTGCTTTAAATTTATGGCCAGAAAATCTTGTTTTGGATTTTCAGAGAAATATAAATTCAAAAATGTGACGTTACAATTTCTGACCTTCTTTCTTTTTTAAAATGTGAGATTGAGTGTCAAGAATCTACATTTTTAGTTTTAAGTAACAAAAGAAATTTCTCAATAAATTCCAGTAATTACCTGATATCCAAATACTATTAGAACTATAATGGATTTTGTTATTTATCTAAATTTTATCCCCAATATTTATCTTGTGGAAATTTCAGTCATAAATCCCTCACTTGTGTCAAAAAACTCAGAAGCAAAATGGTGAAGGAAAAAAAAAAAAAAAAAAAAAAAAAAAAAAAAAAAAATCCAACATCTGAAAAAATGAATATTGCCACATCAACATAATGTGCTTAATTTCATTTGTTAGACTTCTTCCATAAATTAATCAAAATTGACGCATGCGCGTAAGACCTTTACGGCTGCGAATTTGCGTGTGCGCAAAATACATTTACGAATGCACGTTTAATGTATAATGGACGGTATAAGCTAAGCTAAACTTATCTAATTCAGTTAATGTTGCAGATTGCGTTGTTCCTTAATCTTCGAATTGGATTCGGCTTATTATTTTTTGCAGACTGTTAGAGCAGTTTTATAAAAGTAAGCTTGAACTTTCGATTATGTCAAATAGAATTTCTGATATATATTTATTAATATGTAAAAAAGGATCTACAAAGCGAAAGTATAAGTCCATTAAACAAAAAGTGGAATTGCTGCAAAAAATGGATAAAGGCATATCCTTTGTTTATCTAAACTTTAACATTTGTTTATCTAAACTTTGTTTATCTTTTAACGCGGGGGTGCGCTATGAATTGGAAATTGATCTGTCAGCACTATCCTTATCTTCAGGGCAGATATTTTTATTTTATTTGGCTTATAATTACTTACTAAATGTAGTATTTCATCTCGATGTACTCCGTCTTTGGTATGATTTAAAACAAGTTCCTCGTCATTATATTTCGCTTCCGATAGTGAAGAAAGTGACAGAGGTTATTGAAAACGAAAAAATTTCGATTAACAAATTAGTCGGTATTCTCGACACAGCAATTATACTACTTGAACAGCGGAACTTTGTAACTAAACAAGAAATTATGTCTGTTTAATAGAATTAAAGAGAAAATATTATCACATGAAACGAAGCAACTTAAACAACTTACATTGAAAGAAATGTTTAATAAAGTAAACAAATAAATATTAATCTTTTTCTTTTTGTAAATTTTGATACCCTTTAGATCATAATTGTTCTTTATTTCATATTTTTAATTTTGTAATTTCTGCATGCCATCTTACCAGATTTAAACTCACGATCTATAATCCGGAAAAATCGATAATCCAGAATTGCCGAAGTCCCGACGAGTCCGGATTAACGACTTTTGACTGTACCTAAAATCGTGGAATGGGTTATTTTGACCCCATTATAATCACAAGT